CCCCAAAACCCCAAAACCCCAAAACCCCAAAACCCCTCAACCAAGAAGTTTGGTTGAAGCTGATAAGTGATACAATACTGGTTAAAACTGTAATTAAATGTTAATAAAGGCTATCTTCACCTTCTTTCCATATATCAATGTTCTCTCTCAAAAGTTCAAGAATGGGGAGAGAGTCTCGAACTTCGTCTGAATCATCCTGTCATATATATTCTCTCCTTTCCTCTAGAGCTTCTTCTGCAATTTGTCAAGCTTTAGATTTATCCTCCATGATTTCATACCAAAATACCTAAAAATAGTTGCAACGATTACCGAATAATTTAGCGAGCATCCAAGTCTGTTAGGGTTGTATCAACTGTCATCCTTGCAGACATTGGTTCCCTTCTTATAGAAGCTATCAGCTTTCTCAATGGCTTTGTCTCGCCTTGACCCAGAAGCTGTCTCAGCAATGTATCTGTAGTTGTCTCCAACCAGTTTCAGATAAAACACTTTAGAGGTGCAACTCCCCTCAGAGTCATCAGTGGTAGCCTTTGACAGACAATGCTCTTGAATAATGTCAATGACTTGCCGGCACTTGTGGTCAAGTTCGAGGCTGAGTTTATCTTTATACTCAGCTAAATCTGGCGCATACTCTGCATACTTTTTGTTCTGCTCGATGGCTTTGACTGTTTTCCAGGCTGATCTCTCAGAGCTGATGAAGTCTTTGAAGGTAGCAGAAAGAAGCTCTGTATAAATTTGAGGAACAAAGGGTAAAAAGTTACTAGAATCTTTGTAAAAGTAAGGTTTCAATAGTTTGTATTTGTGGCATAAGAAAAAGCTTAATTAGCAATTATTCAGATACTTGCAAATATTATCATACATTTATAAGCTAAACTAAGCAAGTAATTTGTAGAAATAATACCAATCCCTGTTCCATACCTACAACCTCTGGGGATGCATCTTTCTGAGATAGTTGCAAGGCCTTTGTTAATAAATCAACTGCATCTTCATACCTCTCCGCTTGAGCAGCCACTCTCACCATAAACACCCCTTCTTCCATTTTATTACTCAACTAAATCCCCCATCCTCGGGGTTTTGGGGTTTTGGGGTTTTGGGGTTTTGGGG